CTAGTAAATGCTAGGGCATTCACGAAGGAACAAGCTATTTCTAGAAACGTGGCGTGACACTAATCATGTGACCTCGCTGATGCAACAGGGTCTTATTTAGTACGCTTGTAATTTCATTTTTATGAATAGATTTTGTGCAAAGGCTTTTCTTTTTTATGTTTTAACTATAGAGGACTATTCTGATACACACTAATGTGTTTTTCATGTGGCATTATGTATGTAAATTCTAGTTTCTCTTTCACTCTTGGGCAGGTCAATGGATAGTGGTCAGCTGCTTGAGGGTTGTAGGGTTACTAATGTTACAACCATTATTAAAAGGGGGATTATAAGAGTTGTCTTGGAAATTATACTTCAGTTGGCCTTACTTTTGTAAGGACAAAATCTAGTCTGTTAATATCATTTAGTGAAATATAGATACCTTAAAAGAAAGCCAAAATGGATACTAAAGAGAAATATTGTCTTACTAATTTAACCTTTCCAAGGATGTTACTTGAACAATCGAAAAGGTGTGGACCTGGTGTACTTATATTTTTAAAAAGCTTTTGATAATATTCCACACAGAAGATTAGCTAAATAATCACAGTGGTATGGGCTGAAGAAATACTATTTTGAGGATTGTAGGGTGTTTGGATTTGAGAACGTAAAAGTTCTTATTCATAGTGTCCGTCACACTGTAATCTTGTTACTAATTAAACACTTCAGGGTCAGTGCTTGGGCCCATACTATTTCTTATTTACATTGAGTAATGTTTATTGATGGGGGTATAACTGGTAAAGTTTGCTGAGGAAATTAAATTCATAGATATTTCTAGTTGTACTGAGGATGTTGGGGTACTGTAGAATAACTTGGGTAAATAGTATATTGGACAACTATTTGGAAAGTGATTTTCAAATACAGTAAGTGCAGGTAATGTAATTGGGTTATCATAATTTGGATCACATGTTTAATACAGATGGGAACCCTCCCAAAACATGACTGAAGAATCTTTGTGTAGTGATGGATAAGTCACTTAAGCTATCAAAACAGTACTCTGTTGCTAGTGATAAAACTAATAGAATTTTAGGAGGTATTTATAAATATATTAATTACAATATTCAAGAAGAGAATCAATATTTTCCTGAAAAATAAATAACGGGTTTGAACATTTATTTTTCTCAAGGATGGATGTGCAAGGTTTGTTTATTTTGGATATTTTCACAAAGCTATAGAAGGGTTAGCTGCAATAGCCATCGTTAATTTTGAACTGATAGACCAGTGGGAAGGCAACTAGTCAAAACCATTCACTTCCAACACTTGGGCTATTCTAATTAAATAATGGGATTTAACACTCACTTTTATAATACACCCAAAGTGACAGTGGGGAGCACCAATTTGCAGCAATGGAGTTTGAAGTATGAACTTTCAGTTCCACAGACCAATGCATTAAATACTGGGCCATGCCCAGCCCAGGGCAGGCAAAAATAGCTTCGAAAGACCAAATAATCTCTTTAAACTTTACAATGTGTTATAAGGCTTGTGTGTCAGACACAAAAGGAAATAAAACTATTTCATATCTTTTAAGAATGAAATGTTAATTCGATTTTGAGATAATACATACTGGTTGCTCTCTGCTTTAGTTATAGATTGGAACACAGCAAAGGTTGCATGTCTGAGCAATGCTGAAAAGTTTAATTCTTTTTTGCACAAAAAGCAAAGATCAACTCAGTTTATGTATTATCACCAAGAAAATTAATTAAAAAACTTTTAAAATAATAAATTACAGTACAGTAAAGAAAATTTCAAACAATACAATCAAAAGTATTATTCAATTAACAGGTTCACAGACAAAGACAGACTATTAATTAAATTCCAGAGTTGAGCATCTCGAGCTATTTCTAATAAATTTGTATTTGTTTTCATTTACCAACAGATATTAAAGCTTTTCACCATACTTAGAAGATCATACATTGTAACACCATATAAGTAAAGATTTGTTGTTTATGAGTGTATTAAAATCAAAAAAATAATTTTTGAAATTCTTTCGTGAATTTATCAAGCAATGAGATTATATCTGAGTATTAACATTCCATTGGGCAGCCAAAATTAAACAGCTACGTGTATTTCTAAATGAAAAGTATTTTCCATTCCATTTAACACACACACACGTTTATATACAAATTATATAATTCATCTATCCTATCTGGCAATTTTTTTATATTAGTTGTTTATTTAAAATTTATATACATATATTTTATATTTGTGTTTGTATTTTTGCAAATATCTTTTCCCTATGGAAACAGAATGTGATGGATAAAAACTATCATAGTTCCACAAAGAACATATAAAGCATTCAATTATTAAAAGGAATATAGATTCTAACTCCTATGTTAAAACATTGAGCATAACTTAGTACAAAATAAACATCAGGGGATGGAATATTTTACAAAGTTGTGTTTGAAAAATTATTTATGTTACACATGGGTTGGTTAAAAAATCTATATAGGTCCAGATAAGGTAAAATATTGTATTCAATACTAATTATAGTTACTACTGAAAAACTACTATGGAATTATTTCAAAGCATACTTAGTATAAACGTTTTAACTTATTGTAAGGGTAAGAGGCTATTGCAATGTGAGCTTACAAATAAAAATTGCCGATTTTATTAAGAATATTTTCTTGTTTTAGTCATACTGTAACAAGTATAAAAGATAAAAGTCTGTAAAAATTCCACATTAATAATTTTCCCACAGATTTAAATAACAGAAATTCATTGTTATCGCTAAAGATGTTTTTGTGTATTGAATATTAAGAAACAAAACAATTATTATGGCTTCTGGAAATGTTTTTATTTACACAATATTAATTAAACTATGATGTAAACTTGTCTGACACTTCTCCAGCTTATGTTCTTTTTTGTCTTCGACTTTTTCCTTTTTTCCGTTTGAAATTCTTTTCCTCAGTTTTCTTTCGCCTATTATCCTTCTTCATTCGAGGATCTACCACCCTGAATTGACCTTTAACCCCAGCTGGTCTGTGAACTCTCTTGCCCATCCCTTTCTTAGCTACTACATAGGTAATTTCTTTTTCCTTCTTACCTTGAACTGCTTTCTTGTAGATTCTGAATAGAATTAAAATGAGAACAAGATATATCTTTTTAACAAGTATAAAAATAGCTAAAACAGAAGCAATAAATACAAGATTATTTGTTTTGCTGATAAAGTATTGCTACTGCTTACATGAAATTTATAAGAGAACTAATCTTTTACAATAGTTATGGTGTAATTTTATACATAATTAAACACTCGTATTCTTATTGATAATTTTTAAGTCTTACCAAAAAATAGTTACCTTAATCAACAGAATTTGTAATTTTTACTTTACTGAAAAAAAAGTCCTAAAAACAACAACTTTATGTTAAGAGTTCAAAACCACATGCTGATTGTCATTCTTATTGGTGAAGCATGGGTATCCATGTTAAAATTTAAATACACAAAACATAATATGTGCATCTTATGGTTTTGAAACTGAAATTTATGAATATTGAATATAAATATAAGAATGCATTATGTATAAACAAAATAAATTCAAATAATTTATTGGAGACTAAGTAGTATGCTAGCTTCTCATAAATGTTTAAGTCTAAAGCTATTTGTAACTAAAGTTCCAAATGTCAGACATGGCACAACTTCCATGAAACGTAGAGAGATATGAATAGCAAATTGTAAGCATCCTGTTTTTTGAAAAGTTATTGATGTGAAGAATGTAAATTATTACTGGTTTACAATAAATATGACTTACTCTTTGGTTAAGTAGTGTGGATTGAGAGTTCAAAGTACCATGCCATATTTATGACATATTTTCAATGTAAAAAAAAAGCCAAAAATTCAAAGTGTGTAAATATCAATGACAAAAAACAAAAGTTAATAGCTATCAATTGCATATAGTTGGTGCAATTTTAACAACATTTATATTAAGTTTAGTATACATTGTACCAGTTTTCATTTATTTAGTTTTAAGGTGAATCAAGTGTGCAGTTTCCTATAAGTTTTTAGCTTCATTAATCCATTTATGAAGCTGAAAAAGAAACCACCAAAATTCAGAACACTGGTAATGAGAAAGTTATGAAATAATATGTTAATCTTGTGTTTCATTACCTGATGAATCCCACATAAGAAACTAAGTAGAAAAGCTAAATGTCATAAACCAATATGCCTGAAAAGTTTAACATACAATGGTTTGGTTTGTCTGGAATTTCACGCAAAGCTACATGAGGGCTATCTACTTTAGCCATCCCTAATTTAGCAGTGATAGACTAAAGAGAAAGCAGCTTGTTAACACCACCCACTTAGGATACTCTTTTACCAAAAAAATAGTTGGATTGACCATCACATTATAACACTCCTATAGCTGAAACAGCAAGCATGTTTAGTGTGACAGGGATTCAAACCTACTACCTGCAAATTTCGAGTTGTGTGCCCTTACCACCAGGCCTAACCTATAATGATATTTGTGGCCATAACTTACCAATAAGCACTATAATGTTTTAATACCACATACTATATAATCAGAAAGTTTGACAAAAAGCTAGAAACTATTTATTCAGAATAAATGCATGTAAATACGTATGATTAGCAAGTTTTTACACAGATACATAAGCAAAGAATAAAAAAAATAGATAACTAATAGCATCAGTCAAATACAAATTAGAATAACAACAACAAAAGCTTACGACTTAATGTGCTGTACTTTCTCCTTGTCTGTCATGTCCGTAGAATCTGTAATATTTTCAGCCTTTTTTCTTGCTTTCTCCATACGTTTTAAAGCCTGAGAATGAATAGGAACAATTTATAAAAGACTAATAAAATACCGAGTAGAAAGTACACATTAAACATCAAAATGCATTTTTTTGAGGTTTGACTTTGCATTAAAATTTGGAATTGTAAAAAATACATAAAAAACACAATCACTTTAAAAATAATATATTAAATTGAAAGAAAACCACAGGGAAAAGCTAATTTACCTTCAAGAAAGAACTTACACGTTTGGTTTAAACTATTTCAAAATTATATTTGTTTTGCAAAAATAGTGAAAAGTAACTGAATCAATTGTAAAGAACAATAAAACTAACTGTAATCAAAAGTGGTTGAACTTTTAATATACTTTCTTCTCAGTGTTTTACTTTCCACCAAGTAAACACAGCTTAATATTTAAAGTTATATTAAATTGTTAAACAATTAGTAGACTGAAAGAAAATGAGTAAGTCCATTTAACAAATTGTACAAGTAAAATTACAGTGGATTATTGATAACATTTCAAACTCTAAAACAAGTACTTTCCTCAGCAACAGAACAATACTCTTTGCTAGCTACACAAAAACTACACAAAAAATTAATGACATTAAAGAAACATCCATTAGTGCCTAAATCCAACCTTACAGTAAAAAATAAACATGAACTTGTAGTGTTCATAAGGTCTTCCAAAATGAGCTTAAACATACTCATTTTATAGCATTTTTGGAGTTTAAGAAAAAACTTATAAAAATTAAATTACACTAACTTCCCTACAGAGTAGAAATTTCACTCTTTATGCATATGCTTACTAGTCTGCTGCAGATATAGTTTCTACTAAAAATTCCATTGAAAGCCCTTGAAGTATTGTAATGTTCTATCATCAAAAACACCCGAACATTGCTGAATGAGGAGCTGTATCCAGCCACCACGTGAACAGAGCTTAAATGTATCTAAATGTTTATGTGGGGAGATGAAGATATATTTTAAATAAGAATAGACAATGACCCTCATCACGGACATTGAATGAATACTTTTTTATAATCAATAATGATTAATTTCTATGATTTTTTTCCTTTCATTCGAAAATAAACAAATTATATACATTATTAAACTCACAGGCACACCTACTAAAGTGTTTTTATTTTGTTTCATTTAAATCTAAACATATTACAATAAGCTTGATCACTAAAACATAGTTCTTTTAAAATGAAAAAATTACTCAGTGATGTGATTTGTGCATACTCATTCAAAATATGGTTAACACATATATTTTTAGTTACCAGTGTAACTATACAGTGTAACACAAAGATTAAGAACAATGTAGTATAATAAAATGGAAAGCATATTATATATATTTAATTATCCTAACTTATTAAAACAAAGTCCTTACTTACTCTTTTCTTCTTTCTTGCCTTTGCTTCTGCTACTTTTTTGATTGGCCTGGCATTGATTTCCTTCAAACGTTCTTTGTACTGTGACACCATTTCCTGGTTCGGCAATATTAAAATACACATGTATTAGTACTTACAATAGCATAAGGTATGTTTATTAACAGATATAGGTTCATTATTAGCACATACTAGTTCTAGTCAGGAAGTAACAATTTAAAAAAAAAATTTGGATTGTCAATCCTCTCACTACGGGCTCGGTGGATTACACCACCCTCATGACCCAAAATTTACCATCAGTTTCTATACTATAAATTTTAATATATTTTGTATATCTTCAAGAAATTTGGTGAGCTTTCAGTTAACATTCCAAAAACTTTTGTACAAAAAAAAAAAAAATGTTTTTACTTAAGTATATTTTTACTCAGAATTTGTCCATGAATATATTATGAAGTTAGAGTGATTTTCATGATAAGATTAAAAATACCTGAAAATTTTCAAATTGATGATTGTTTAATATCTAAAATCACTTAAATAAATATCATATGTTTCTGTCAGTAAATCTTTATATTTTATCCATTATTTTCTCTATCCTAACTCTATACGCATTCAATCAATTTGACTAAACTTATAACCACCACAAAAAAAATCTAAATTACCCTTTTTCTTTCTATAATGACAGCAAATTGTAACAGAAAACCACAATTGGTTATCATAAATTGCTTTAAGCTCCTAACAGTGTACATCTGTTTATACTTACATTTTATTGTCCTTTGATCCATGCCTAACAAATATTCCTATCACATAAGTTGTAAAGGGGGTTAAATAAGCATTAACAATTATAATCACCAATTACTATTTATGAAAGTACAGAATCTGTTCCTAAGCACTTAAAAACTTGCCAATCCTAAAGCTAATCATTTTTACAACTTGATTATTAACAGGTTAAGTTTTGATACAGTTTAAAAACAAAACTAAGTACAAACCTAATATAAAAATAAAGGTCATTTTTAAACACACTGTCATGCACATTTCAAGGCTAATGGTTGCCTGCCTTGACTTTGGGCTTGCAAACTATAATTCTTCTCGCAAATATTTATGTCTGAATTGAATGAATTTTGCTAATAGGTATAAAAGTGAGACTATATAAATCAAAATTAACAGAATATTCATGTTTAAGTATGTACCACACATACAAAAGAATGAGGTTTTTGTAACATCTTTGGCTTAAAATATCTAATTTAAATTACTGCAAAAGATATTTTTTCATATAAATTTTGTAATTCACTCACAGCTGTAACAGGTATTGCTTTTTTATAATGAAGTTCTTCATCTTTCACAAACCAGTCTGGGAGATTTTCATCATTGAAAGTGTACCTTATTGTGAAATATAAAGCATGTTCTTATTGAATAATAAAATATACTGTATATATTATCATACTTACAAATAAAAGACACACATTTAAGGATCTTGTTTAATTAATTCAACAAAAATTTATTTAAATTTAAAGAAAATATTCTATACAAACTTGTTAAAAAAAGCTGTCATTATAAATACCCAAAATGGAAATAGTAAGCAGTTTAAAGCATAATAAACTTTGTGCTCTTCTTTAAGATTGCACAGTGATGGAAAAAATAGCAACACACAGTGTTGTTAATGAAATAATATTCCTGTGAAAAATATAGAAGAGTGAAGTATAAACATCAATGGCTGAGAAAATTTTAAGAATGATTATTTACTTTTACATATAAAAACTTGTCTGTATAATATCACAAAGAAGGTAAGACTATAATGACCATCCATACATGTTATAGCTTTCTTTTAATACCTAGAATGGTATAATCACATACTTTAAATTTTTAAAGTATGTAAACTTACAAGAAAAATCTAAATGTTAGACTATGATAGATCTGTACAATGTTTATAGTAACATACTCATTAGAGCAGTGAAACCTGCAGTATAAGTATATATTTTCAGACTTTTGTATCTAACTAAATGCTACTCTGTCAATAAAAGATAAATCATTAAACAAATTTAGAAATGTTGAATTCTTGATTACATTATTTTAATTTGCTTTATAATGACTTTTTTTTTCACAATACAGATGAAAATACAAAGTACAGAAACACTACACCTAAAACTTATTCTAAGCATAAATAACTAGTTATTGTTCAGTATGCTAGTGAAAATTGTTTAATGAAATACACATCACTTATACAGTTATCCAGTGTCAAGTTATTTAATAAAAGTTTAAATATTTAAATTTAAAATTTTTTTTCATTACAAGTTACAACTTTTACTGTAAGGAATAGTATTTTTTAAAACAGGGTACAATGTTTCAATCACTGGTGCGATCATTCTAAAGTACTCAGATTTTAATGGCAAAGAAGTTGTATGCATTTAAATTAACATTCAACAATGTGTTCAAATTAGAGAATTAATAGTGATTATTTATGTATATGCAAATCAGCTTGCATGAATTGACACAATATTTATTTATAGCTGAACAGAAAAAACAAACCAAAAGTGAGTAAATATGAACTCGAGGAATATGGTGTGTGAAAGATTTGCATAAGATAAGGAATGTCTGGGGAAATAACAAACTAAGACACATTGGGATGTGCTTAGGTATTTGTTAATTGTGGGATTGTTTGATTTTATTAATACGGCTTTTTCTGATGTTTCCTCTGTTAGTGTCAGTGTTTTAGTATAGTGACATGCTGTTCAGAAAAAATTTTGGTTGTTTTTGTTTGTATGTTCACGGACTTGGGAAAGGAGTTTTTTGGTGTTCTTTTAACCTGATGTTCAAATTATGTTCTGTTTCACATATGTAAAAGGCTTTTACATTATGTTTTGTAAATGTTTCCTTGTGGGGTGGGTTTGTTATATATATTTCTCTTAACGTGTGTGTTATTTTCATTCCAGGAGTGGAAATGAGTTTAATTGTTATGTTAAGGTTCTAGTTATGTGCTAGTCTTTCCAAATTTATTATAGAGGTATGCTAATATTTTCTACATATAGTGCATGCAATTATTTTGTGGAATGTCTTTTGAGCTTGTTTGTTAAAAGTGTC